AGCAAGGGCTTGAAGGAAAGGCAGTATTTTGGGGTGTTTGTCCTAAGAGGGACACTGTTTTCTTTCTTAAATCAACCCACATGATCTCATTACCTGATCAGAGAAAGACAGATTTCTGTACCCTGAACTGCACAGACTTGAAAGACCACAAAAGGGGCAAAGCATTCATAGTCAGAACTTACACCCAGACACGGTAGGTAGTTCAGAGAGCACTCAAGGAAGAAGCACCTTTCAAAGCACGACACCCAAGCCCACAGACAGCAGAAGATAGGTAGCACTGCCTAAGTATGATAGTAATTTCAGACTCAGTTTGCTCCCTTACCTTTGCACTGCTGCATGCAGCTCAAAGCACTGACAGAAACTTCATAAAAACATTGAAAAAAACACCTCTCACCCCAGAGGGATTAAGTGCACATATGTTTCCCTCTACTTCTGTCAGAGTCTATTTGTTACCTTCTTCAAAAACAGAAGGGGCTGCTTGGGGGAGGAGTGGGTTCTCTCTCCTTTCTGGTTTTGGTAAAACCTACAGAAACTCCGTTTATCTCTACAGTAAAACAGCTGTGATAACAGTCTTGTCCATAACCATCCACTTCCAGCTTTCCTAGCAAACAAGGAGCACTAAGGATATTGCCTTATTGCTAGAATAGGGACACCCTGTGCTAAAATTTACTATGGTTCAAATCTGCAAAAACTTTTTCATCCTTTTAACTGAATTATGCTTTTTCAAACTTTATCCACCGATATATCTTCAATCAGTTTCCTCCATACTTTCATTCACGCTTAGTGGCATGCTGCTATATTAACATATGCAAACGTGTGTATCAGGTTGGTTATGCTGCAATTAGTTGTTTATTTACAGTTATTTTTCCACACAGGAGGTAGAATAAAACAGGACTAGAATTATTCTTCCATAAATCCTCTCGGGGAGTTCACAAACCTTCCCCTGCCCGCTCTATTCCAGCTCTCTTGTTATATTTCAGTTTCATAAGCTGGTTAGATGGAGCCAGAAATGCACACAAAATGATAAGAGCTGTTCTTGGCAGCCTTCAGTGAATTCCCACCATAAGCACTTTCACATCCTCCAGCAAGCAAGCAAGCCAAGGTGTTTCATAAAAGCAACCCGCAAATCTTAATGAATACATTTAAGAAATTAACTGAAGCTTTCATCATTTATGCTGCAGCATCTTGCAAGGGTCTAAAAACCTCACCTCCAGATTCAAGCGACCAAAAGCAGCTTTTCACACAAGGCTGTTACCAACAGACCCTGTATAAGAAGGTGTTTAAAATATACACAAGCAGAGAAATTATATATCACCAATTACTGATGAGTTTTGCAATGGAAGTCTGGAAGTCTAGCACAACATGAGAGTTTATCCCTGGAATAGAAAGAACAGGTTTTTTTTTTTTGTACTGACCCTGTTTTAAGTCTCTTCTATCACAGAGCACAAACCAGTTCTGTACTAATACTGTTCCTGAAGTTAATCATCAGAATCTGCTATTTCTCCTAGTTCTAAAAGACAGAGTGAAAAGAAGCAAGGCAAGGATTAAAACAATTGACTCATATGGTGCAACTCAACTTCAACCTGGATCCAGAACACCACAAATAAAACGTTTTTGTTTTGTTACTGGCAGTGAACAAGTGCTTTGCTTGTCCTCCTTAGCTGCAAAAACACTCTTTTTATTACAATTTGGAAAGGTAATGGAGTGAAATGAACATATCCCAGGTTATCCCCTCACCTTAGATATACAAAATTATGAGAGAAGTCAAAAGATAGGGTAAGGTTTTTTTATACAGATCTTGATAAGAGATTGATCAGTACTGACAAAGTAGTGGAAGCTCCCAGAAGACTCGATGCTCCCTATCACATAAACTGGAGTCTTTTCTGCTCAGTACAGTAATGGAAAGAAGACAACTGGGGCATGTGAGCTCTGTGGCAGTCTCTGCGGCTCTTCAGCATGTGCAATGCTTCCAGGTACAGGCAGCTCTCATGCAGAGCTCAGACACAACCACCTGCTCCATGTGTCTTTCTGGGGATGTTATCACTGTCAGTCCCACACTCCAACCATGCTCAAGCTCTTTAAGCACAGAAGCACTCAGCAAGGACACAGTCTAAGAAGTGGGAAGATGATGCCCATGCAAAATATGGGATAAACTGGCGTTTAAAACTAATGTCTTCAAGAAGCTGCAAATGCCTGCTATGAACCCAAACAGGGTGAAAATTTCATCCCTTACATAAAGACATTTCCTATGGGACACATAGTGCTGATTGCCTATTTATACATTCCTTTTTCTGATTTTCAGTAGAACAATTTTTCCATGTACACAGTTACATGAAAAATACCATTGAGTGCTAGATTGACTGCTCCAGTTACTGAGTGACTATTTTTGTTTTTCCAAACTGCCTGCTGAAGATGGGTAGGGAAAAATTTAATGACAAGGTGTTTGAGGTGACTGTGTTGTGTTCTCAAAACTAACAGAAAAATGAAGCACAGCCTTTTGTGCATTTCTGCCTGATGTAATTCAGGAAGTTTGTTCTTACGAATGCAAAACATCCATTAATATTTAATGTTTTTATCTTGTTTCATAAATATTTTCAATTGCAATCTGGATATTTTACTCCTTCCCACTTCCTTACTACAACTGTTTATTAAACCACCAACTATAACACAATGTCTGTACGCTAAGTTGGGACTAATTTTGCTGTTGCTGAATTCAATGGCAAACGACTTAAGGAGTTCACCGGTAGCTGGCTTGACCCTTTTATTCAAACTTTCCAAGATACACGTTTTAAATGTATTTACTGATCAATATTTACTGCAAAAAAATTCTCTTCACCTTTGCCTTATTTTCCTCATGCTCAAATACCCCAGGTTGTCTATCTTCAATTACAATTTCTCAATATATAGTTACGCTGCAGGATTTTCAGAGCAGGTAATGTTTTATTATTAGTCTGGGTATTATCTATGAGTTTGGTGTTCTAATCTCAGGTCGTTAAATATTGCTTAAATGTAAATTCAATAATACTGATGATGATAAATGGAGTGTTTCCAGGACTTTGGACTGTGGAGAGATCCATACTGCGAAGCTTTGAAGAAGTTTGAGGTTCACTTCAGGGACAACTGAAAGTCACTCCTTTCTAATGAAACATTCAAGAGTTATTTGTAGCTCACAGTGACATTTCACCATTACCATACATACCATGCCCGTGACTAGGTTTGAAGGAGTGTACCTGAACTGTGAACTCATTTTACTGATCCTCCTAACCACCATTGGTCAAATTTAAAGAAAAAAATAAACACTGTATATGAGGTTGCTGCCTTTTCATAATTGCGTATAGTCATTTCCCAAAAAGTGTATCCTTACCAAAATATGATCTACATGGACAGCTCTTCAACAAAAAACTATTGAGGTCAAACTTACTGATCAGGCAAGAGCATTATTTTTGTGAGAATAGTTGTACCTGAAGATACTAAAAACAAACCACCATGTAAGAAGCTTCCTGGAAGGTAACTTAACATGTTACCACACAAAATGCAACTTTGGGCATTCTCCCTCAGGGTAGAGTTTACTTCCTAGTTCCTCCAATAATGTCATGTTGAAATATTTAATGCAAATTTTGAAAAACCTAACAAGGACTCAGCTTTAAAGAGTTAACATCAGACATTTCTCATCATTGCTCTCATTCACCTTCCACCTACTTCAGCTCTCTAAATGTGATTCAGAAAGCTTCAGACACAAATAAAATTTACAGTGAACTGTTATTCAGTCACAGAAAGTGTTTTCCAGTCTCTGGCCAAAACTGTGCAGCTGTGTCCTGCTGGCTCCATGTTGCTCTTCAGGATATTTCACAATGACTATCTTTAATGCTACCCCAAAGAGCAGGGACCATGTCATATCAGAAAGAGGTGAGAGAAAATGTTACCATCCCAGCAAGATAATCTGCAACGACTACGCTTCTGCTCTGTTCATACCTCATTTGTTCCAGAAACTCTTCTCTAAACAGAATATAGAAACACAAAATACACAGTAGGCATCTCTGAAAAGAGCACTTGTCAGGAGCAAGTAACGGTTACCAAAATATACATCCATGTGGTACTATGTCATAAGCACGGCTGAGAAGAAGGACATGCGGTTAACAGAAGACTACCAAAAGATTACTTACCACTTTCTCCACAGACCCTCATCTACATATCTTAAGAACAAAAGCTCAACTCCTTTAAGATACAGCAAAGCACCTTCTAGTCCTCACAACAAGACATCAAGTGGGTTTTTTTTTCTTTTTTTTAAATATAATTTCACCCACATTGCCAGACACAGACTGATGATATCAGTAGAATAATACAGTAATGGTGTTATTGCTGGTATCTCTGTCTTACACATACCTCCATCTGGCTGTAAAATAAATAAATGAATAAATGGAAGGGTTGAGATTTCCCCCTTGCACATGAGCACTTGCCACTCTCTCCAGCTGCTACTTCCCAAGATACAAACAGAAGCTCAAGAAAATGCATCTGCCAGAAAGCACCAGTATGACAGGATCCACTGTAAATTCACCTTTCGCTCTTGCCATTGTTTCCCCTTGAATCTATCATCTTAACGTGACATTCTAGTATGGTCTGAAGTACTTCTTACATACAGCATAGAGTGTCATCAAATTGCTGTAATCAAACTCATATCAGAATAAATTTAATTTCCTATCTTCTTTCTACCTACACTGACTCAAGTAATATTGACTCCAGGAAGTGTCCCAGGGGCTTTGCAGCAGAAGGGAGAGAAATGGGATTTGTCATAAGGAAAAAGGAGAGGTAGAAGAGTTTGATCCAAAATTCTACACTCTGTCTACATCTGCCTCTGCCCTTACTTACCTGATAATAAACGAAACACTAAACATGATGGCACTTAGTCTAGTTATTTTACTTGCTCCCAGTGCAGAAGCCTATAGTATCAGCTCATACAACCCACAACAATTCTGGAAGGTATAGAAAATAACCCTGCTTACCTTTCATCCCAAACTTAGAGTGTCTTCCAAACTTCAGAATAATGAGCATTATTACTAAGCCAGTGCACACCAGTGCTGCAATTCCCACCACAACATACACCTAAAAAAAAGAGGACACAAACATCTGCTTGTTTTGTTCTCATGAACTACCTTCAAAGACATTCAGCACGCATGCAGATTAACCCAGTTAGGTAAAGAGATTCATTTCAACTGGGAAACATTTGTGCTCAGATCAAAGAGCACAGAAAACAGCCACTTGAGGTTTCTTCTATCCTTCAGAGAACAGAGATTCAGAGACCTCTGAGAACTTTTTCAACATCCTACACATTCAAGGCAGGTGGGATGGAGTGCACATCACCCCTTTCCCTTCCAGCAGAGTGGCATGTTGTAAGAAAACATGTAAGAAAAGCACATGGGAAAAATAATTTTACTGTGAGGGTGGCTGTACACTGGTACAGATTGCCCAGAGTGGCTGCTGAGTTTCCATCCCTGGAGATACCAAACCAGAGTGGACACAACCCTGAGCAACAATGCTGGCCTCACTTTAAGCAGGTGGGATTGGACCAGAGGATTTCCAGAGGTCCCTTCCAACCGCAGTGATTCAATGATTCTGTTACTAGACAAGACAAGACTGTCTGGGATCCTCCCAAATTTTTAGCACAGTGTCCCAACTCACAGCTGGCTCCCCAGTTCATGAATGCACATTCTCTCCAGTGCCTGCTGCTTTACAGAGTCACTTGATGCAGGGAGGCTGCAATATCAGCCAGGATGGCCACCCACTACCACTTTCCAACAATTCAGTTCAGGAGAGCATGAAGAGGCAAGGCAGCAAAGGAGGAGGCCTACCAGTTCAGATACTTATACTAAAATCTACTGCAAATTATTAGATAAAAAACCTACAGGAAATCATGATTCAAAAACATACAATTAGAAGTTGAAAGTTCATTGCAGCACATCTTCTCTTTAAGGAGGAGCCGACTCCAGGACTGGAATTCAAACAACAATCTTCAAGCTACCTTGGAAGTCTTTGTTTTGCAAATAAAGAGTTGCTCTCCTAAAGCACAGGCTTAGGCTAAAAAACTACAGCTAGTTATTTGGAAAAGCATGAAAGAAAATAAGTAGAATAAGTAGCAATTTTACTTGGACTGAAAAGTGATTCACTTTCAAAAAATGGGGGGAGCATTGATTTTCTTTTTTTTCCTTTTTTTTCTGAGTTTTGATGACAACACAGTAACAGCTCCGGTGTTCTGGTAGGTCAGGGTCCTATTACAACCTCAGCAGTTTTGCGAGTTGTGTAGCCAGAAAGTCCGCCAAGATTACAGATCAGGAAACAATGTATATACTTACAGTGATGCTATCTTCATTCTCTTTGTTGGAAACATCCGTAGAAGTGATTTGATTACTGTTATTTGTGGTGTCTCCAAGATCATTAGGCGTGGTTTCATACTCTTAGGAAAGGAAAAAAGGTTGCTTTTATAATTTTGTAACCTTAGAGTGGAAAAGGTTGTCTTTATTATTTCTACTCTGTAAAACAGCAAGGCCACTAACAGCTCTCGGGACTCCGAGCTCTTTGGAAACAATATATAATTGCTAGTTTAGCTGGAACATTTTGGGGGGATCCCCGTGGCAGATCATCCAACACATGTGTTATGACTGATAAACTCGAAAAGAGAAGTGATCTACACCATAATGTGTATCGCTACTGGAAAAACTAGCGTTAAATGAGAACTCCATCCATAAAGCTATTTTTATCTGCTTCTGACTTCCCATTAAAAATGAAAGACTGCCCTCTACACTGAACTTTTCCAGACTGGTACTGAGCCAAATATAGGACAGTCTTAGAAATTAGCTTGGGGACTTTTGTTTAGCTGAGAAGAACCTGGCAGATGGGTTTTTACAGTTTATTACTATAACGTGAAATAGCTGTATCTATTCATTTAAAAAATAATAAAAAATACAGTTGTGTGCATAGAGGTTACAGTCTAGCATCATAAACTGTCATACAGGTAAACCTTTAAAAAATTAAGTGCCTGAGACGGTATTAAGAAATTTGATTTCTCAAAATAATTCCACTGACAGGTCTGCAGGGGTGAATCCAGAACCATCAGAAAGAATGAACATGGCTTTATTATTTATAATCATTTAAAAATGAAACACCAATATTTACAGTCCATTACTTCCTGTCAAATTATTCAAATGAGATAAAAATAATTAAATAATATATATAAGAACATGGAGAAATGTGCATTAAAATAAAACTAAAAATACCTGTATTTTATGATTACATTTGGGAACATACATAACGTTTCAATTTTATGACTGCAATGCATGCAGATGAAAGAAACAAACAAGGGTAGTAACTGCATCTATTACAAAATGCACCTTCGGCATTGTAATTTAGATTTGTAATTAACTGCGTATTTCTTTACCCGTCTCGGCTGAAATCGAGAGTGCCGTAATTTTAACTGTGAATCTGAAAAAGCAGAGCGCAGAGGCATAGCTCTCACCAGCTACAGAGGCTGGGACTCTTCCAACCACAGAGCTGCTGCTGAGTAAGGGCTGGGAGGGTCTGCGCCTCAGTAGAGTTTATCTTTATCTCCCAGGGCCATTCTGGAGAGCTCAGCTAGCAATGCTAGCCACAGGCTGCACGGGGCTTTTGATCTTCACGCATGCACAAACACATTTGGTTTCGGCAAAGCACTCGGCAGGGTGCAGATTTTTTGGTACCTGAAGCTACACAGCTACCTCTGGCACCAGTGCTACAGTCAGTACAGCCAGACAGTGCCATCAGCTCATGGCGTCTGTTTTGGCTCTACACCGTGCATGCCGAAGGACAGGGCTCTTTCAAGCCAAAATACATATTAAGTATACACAGCTTCCTTGAGAAACAAAATTTAATTTCCTGGTCTTTTACTGTTTGAATTCTGCGACTCGGCACTGCACCTCTATGCCCACAGCTTCCTATGCAGGAAGATTAGAACAGCAGCAAGAGGCAAAAAGCGAGCGCTCCTCACCCTGGGCAGCACACACCCTGCCCAAACGGCTCACCTGCGCTGGCAGCCGGACACTCAGACACAGCGCTGACCCGTCTGCCACCATGACTACGTGCTTTGCCACAGCGAAGGAGGAGACTTCTGCTTCATTCCTTTGCAGGCAGAGCCCGCTTTGTAACAAGCATCTCAGCCTACAAGACTGGGCTTCCTTTACAATTAGCTGAGAAAATCTTCACAAAGATAAGTTTTGACCAACCCTGTATTTATGGTCGCTTTATGAGACCAATATATAAAAGAAATACTTACAGCCTTTGCTGCTCTGTCTCTGTAATACAAGCTTTAAAGAGGGAAAAATTCTTACTCTTAATTTTACCTGTAAATAGCTGTGGGCAAAAGCCAATGCTATTTACAGTTCTGTTTATGCTCATGTCTGTACTAAGCTACTGGAAATCACACCCTGAAGGACTAATGAGAACTATGCAGAGAGTTTCAGGTCTGGTCTGTGAATCCTCTGCATGCACTTCTGTATTAAAATGGGCAAGCGCTGAAGCAAGCCACGTCAGCATGCTGGGGTCGCATTGCCATTCCCTGCTGTAGAACTGCGAAGCGCTTGTATCTGAACTAGTGCCAGATCTTCAAAGGCTCTTGAAATGGGTGAGCCAGGCAAGGAAAAAACGTGCAACAACTATCCAAAACCAGGCGATTCCGAGTTAAACGAGTTCCTGCTCATTTCGGTATGAAGTCCTAACATAGACACCGAGCACTCCGACACAGACAGGGTCACGCCTCTTGACTCACGCTGCGTGGGACTCGTTTCGCTGCAGGGCCAGGTTCCTCGGTGCCGCGTGCCTCACGCAGCCACCTGCGGCTACGCCAACTGCGGTGAACCGCAACGGAGGCTGGGCAGTATTTCGCAGCTGTTTTACAAACAAGGCGCATGGCGGCTGGGATACAGACGAGACTACAGCCACACCAGCGCCGCCGGGGGGTCACCCCGCACAGTCCTCTGCGGGGTTGGGCGATACGGGGCATGTTGCCTCTCTCATGTTCACAACCACGTCAGAAGCAGCAGCGTGGCACAAAGACGTGAAGTCGGAGCCAAAGCAGCTGGCTTGGCATTCGATTGCCTGCTCAGCCCTGAGTGAGTCGCTTGCTTTCTCTCAGTTACTTCCCAGACGGGACCAGGACAGCCGCTCCTCTCTGCCTTTTCCGAGCGGCGCCGCAGAGGTGAGCCGCCGGCACGAGCGACTGTCACACGCGTGCTGCAGCCGGGACTCCCCCCGGGCAGACACAACGGCACGCAGCCTGCTGCGACCTGATCCGCTCTTCAGTTTCCTGTTGTATGCTCAGAACACTGAACAGAAAACGTTTAGAAATCACCTCACACGGAGTGCAGGACGCAGAAGTCAGTCCCCAAGGGACAGACCAAACTCAGCTACAAAGGGCTTTGCTCGCACAGGGGGGCTACTCAGGCCTGGGGTCCTCTGCCCTCCATCGCCTCCGTCTCCTCACAGCCGGGCCCACCTGCAGGCCCATGGCCCGGCCTCAGCTCCAGGGCAGTGCCCAATGCCTGGGGCTGTGGCTG